GTAGCATTGCCTTAGCATTGTGAATGTCTCCAAGGAGAATCTGTGTGACTCAAGAACGTGTAAAACTTATCATGATGCATGTTTCCCACAAACAGCTATAGTGCCTATTTTAGAATTCTATTCTAAGTGTTACTGGGTGGTCCATAACTTGGATTTATTAGTCCCGTCAAAATTTTGAGCTGTATTTTTGTGGGAAAGAGTGCTTGAAAACATAACCATTTGAAATTATGCTAGCTTTTATGAGGGTCAGGCTTGCTTGCTGTTTAATATTTCTAGCCATTTGTTCACAAGGATTACTCTTCTCTTTTTCTTCTCTGTTTGATCAGACATAGCCACACCGTTGGTATAAGTCCACCGCTTAAATTTCCCAAGCCATGCCCACGTATGTTAAACAGTTAAGACTCCAAGTTTGATCCTGCATCATCAAATTGAGCTTTTAGTGTTACTGCACAGTAAACTCTCAGTTTTCTTCGCCTTAATTCCCTCTCAAACACCTACTGTTATTGACCTGAATACTTAGAAGAGTAATATGTAAAAAAATGGAGGAGAAACGCAGAACCAAAAGAAAAATGTGGAAGTAGGGGAGGGCTCCTTGAAATCTTTGTCAAGCCATTCATTGCCAGCAGGCCAGGCTCTGGAACACAATAGCAGAGCTGTTGCTGTGTGAAGAGCTTGTGTTCTAAGAAGTTATGCTTTAACTCTTATCCTTTACAAAGGCATTGACCGATTTCTGAAGTTCTATTCAAAGTGCTAAAATTGTATTGCAGGAGTAGTTATTGAATTATTTCCATCCTCCTTGGATGGTGAAGAGAGTGGATTGTCTGGCTTTATTAAAGTATGGTAGCCAAAGTACCATTTTCATGTACAGAGATATTTTGGGAAGAAATCAAGAAAAATGTTTTCCTCGCGTAATTCCTCCCTGGATAGATTTGTTTGTTCTGCTTTGAAACGTCAACCACTGCTGGCACTACAGCCTTCGCTAAGTAGGCTTTGTCCTTGCCAGGGCAGACAGACTGCTAAATTAAAGGAGCCGCCGACTTTCTGCCGACATCAGATACAGAGCGGGAGAGGAAATCAGAACCCATTTGATACGTCTCGACCTCCTGGAGCTGCATCTCAATCCACCTGTCCATGTCTGTTTTCTTCTTACTTGCTCCTGCTCTTGTGTTGTTGCTGGAGTGTGTGTCTGTCTGTCCCCTTTTAGATCTCCCACTTCAGAAAGGAAATGGGGCAAAGACCTTGTTTGGTCTTCTTTTGGACCAAAGATAGTTAATCCAGAAATTTGAACGGAGGGAGAACTATCTCTTAAGGCCACATGTGGCCTCGAAGCCCGAGATTCCCCCCCCCCAGTCTAGACTGTTCTCACAAATTCACTTGTAATCTCCCTGCTGCTAACCATTTTTCAAGAATAAGAGAACGTGAAGAAGGAAGAGGGAAATGTTAGAGGATCTGAAGTCTGAATGACTTTGCCGTGGATTGCTTTGTAACTGTGGTTGAGTCACTGTTCTTTACTAAATAGGAGTGAGATCTCAAATAATTATCCATTCCCACCTCCAAACACTTCTTTTTAGAGTGAAAGAAAGATTGCAAGGGAAGAGTTATTCATGTGCAGTGTACCATATTCGTCTTTAGGTGTGATTGAATTAACTTATGAGTTATCTGTTCCTAAAATAACAGATTACTTATAGTATGTTATCATTTGTAAAGCTGTGTTTTTAACCAGTTGCTTTCTGTAGGTTTTCTACAACCTAATCCTTAAATAATGGAGCCACTTCTGGGCCTGGAGTCAGGAAAACCTGAATTCAGATGCAGCCTCAGACACTTATTAGTTGTGTGTGTTCCTGGGCAAGTCACTTAACTTATGTTTGCCTCAGTTTTTTCAAGTGTAAAATAAGAATAATAATAGCATCTAATTCTCAGGGTTGTTATGAGGAGCAAACATGATAGTATTTGTAAAGCAAAGTTCTACTTATAATTTAATATAATTATTATAGGTATAATTGTAAATATAATAAATATTATTTTAGTTTTGAGAATCTGTTATTTTTTTCTGTGTTGGTAGTCCCTCACTCTTTGCAGATCAGAACCCCTCTGTGCCTTAGGAGACTGTCTTCATGAGTTGCCTTGGCCAAAAAATTCATTCCCATTAACCATTATTCTTTTTCTGATTCTTTCCAGACTTGGAAAGATTGGGCCCGTATGAGAAACTTTTCTAGATTGGTGTTGGACCTACCAGAGCATAAATTACTTTGGTATATCATTCAAAAACACCTGATCCTCTCTTAAACCTATATGAGGCTTTGAAAACAGGCATTTTGGAGAGAAAAAAAATCTCTTGAAAAATGTTGCCTTGGTCTGAGACTCTAAGACTTAAGAGAATAATCATATTACTTCTTAGGATCCTATATTTAGAGTCAGAAGTCTCATTAGAGGCCTTCATGTCGACCACCTCACCTCATTTATAACAGATGAGGAAATCTCAGAATCCTAGATTTGAAAGGGACTTCAGAGGCTGTATAGCACATCTTATACCTGAAAAATATCCCATTCTACAGCATACCCAGCAAAAGGTCAAATCTTTTATTGAAGACTTCCAGTGAGCAGGAACCCACAACCTCCTAATGCAACCCATTTATTTTTGGATAGTTTTTGTTAAGAGACTTTTCTTTATATCAGGTTTAAATTTAAGCTATTCCCCAATTGATAAATGGTCAAAGGATATGAACAGGCAGTTTTCAGATGAAGAAATTAAAGGTATCTGTAGTCATATGAACAAATGCTCTAAATCATTCTCGATTAGAGAAATGCAAATTTAACTCTGAGGTACCGCCTCCCACCTATCAGATTGGCTAATATGACAGAAAAGGAAAATAATAAATGTTGGAGAAGATGTGGGGAAATTGGGACACTAATGCATTATTGGCAGAGTTGTGAACTGATCCAACTATTCTGGAGAGCAATTTGGAACTCTACCCAAAGGGCACTCAAACTGTGTATACCTTTTGATACAGTAATACCACTACTAGGTCTGTATCCCAAAGAGATCATAAAAATGGGAAAAGGACCTACACGTACAAAAATATTTATAGTAGCTTTTTTGTGGTGGCAAAGAAATGGAAATTGAGGGAATGCTCATCAGTTGAAGAATGGCTGAACAAGTTGTGGTATATGAATGTAATGGAATACTATTGTGCTGTAAGAAATGATGAGCAGGTGGATTTCAAGAAAAACCTAGAAAGACTAACATGAACTGATGCTGAGTGAAGTGAGCAGAACCAGGAGACCATTGTACACAGTAACAGCCACATTGTGCAGTGATCAGCTGTGATAGACTTAGCTCTTCTCAGCATTACAATGATCCAAAACAATTAATTTGAAAAAACTCCTGATGGAAAATGTCCTCTACATCCAGAGGAATAACTATGGAGTCTGAATGCAGCCCAAAGCATATACTATTTTCACTTTTCTTGTTGTTTTTTTTTTCTTTGTAGTTTTTCTCTTTTGATCTGTTTCTTCTTTCACAACATGACTAATGTGAAAATATGTTTAACATGATTGCGCGTATATAGCCTATATCAGATTGCTTGCCATCTGGGGGAGAGGAGAGAGGGAGGGAGGAAAATTTGGAACTCAGAATCTTATAAAAAATGAATGTTGAAAATTGTCTTTACATGTAATTGGGGAAAAAAATTCTAATTTTAAAAAAAAGTTTAAATTTACCTCTTTTTAACTAGCCCTTTGTTCTGAAGTCTGCCCTTGGGAGCCAAGCAGAAAAAAATCTAATTCCTATTCCATGTATCAGCTCTTCAAATACTTGAATGCTGTTATCCTGCCCCCAAAGTCTTCTTTTCTCTAGGCTAAACATACCCAATTTCTTCAACTTATCCTTATATTTACAATTACAAAACACTTTTCACACAAAGTTAGATCCAAGCAATTGGAAAAATATTAATTGCTCATGGTTAGTCCAAGCCAATATAATAAAAATGACACTTCTACCTAAATTAATCAATCTGCCGTACCAAACTACCAAAAAATTATTTTATAGAGCTAGAAAAAAATTAATGTTTAATAAATGCTTTATTCATTCATCTGCAAATTTGATGAGCGTCCCAACTATATCTTTATCTGACTGATTGATAAAAATATCAAATAACACAGAACCAAGCATAATCCATCTATCCATTCCCAGCACATATAAAAGCCAAGTGTAACCTGTGATAAGTATTATTTTTCTGTTTTTTCTTGTCAAAAAAAAAATCTCCTTTTAGTTTTAACAGACCGTATTTGAGAGCAGCCTATATTTGGACCAATACGGTAAATTTTCTCTCCCTTTATCATCCAAGGGATCTAAACTTATTCCATTTTTTTCCAAATAAAGCAAGCCTAATGTAAACACATTACTAGTTTTAGCTGCCACAGCTGAAAAAGCAGTTCAGTATATTTGGCTTGTCTACTTTATGGACCCTTTAGCACTGTGAGCATCCCACTGACAAAACTAGCTGATTTGCTGATTTCTTTTCCTATCTAAAAATGGAGTACTAGTGGTTCAGTTTCCCCCATTTAAAAAATGCTGATAGTGATCTTGAGAAACAGATTAACATACTAAAAGAATCATTGGATTTGGAGACAGAAAACCTGGGTTTCAGCTCCAAGCTGGTATTGCTCAATCAATTAGCTCTGTGATTATACACGTCATTTAATTGCTTAAATCCTACGCTGCTGATTCTGTAGAATGGGAATAATAACACTATGTACCTTAAAGAGTTGTTATAGAACAAATGAAATTATATATACGTATATAATTCACTAAACAATCATCTGTTATTAGGAGGAGGAGGAGAAGCCTTGTCTGAGTTCTTATTGTGTGAACCATGGTACTATATGGAAGAAAACCTAAATTCTGAGAGTCAGATTTCATCTTGCCGCACACGTTGTTTTTACTTGCCCTTTGGTCTTTGAAAGTTGTTTGTTAATTTGTTTTGTGTTTTGTTTTTCAGCGTACACAAACCCTACTGAAAGAGTACAAAGAAAGGGACAAGTCAAATGTATTTACAGATAAACGCTTTGGGGAATACAATACTAAAATAAGTCCAGAGGAAAAGATGATGAAGAGGTTTGCTCTGGAACGACAGGTATGGAAAATATGTGTTGTAGGGGAAGGTTGGGTTTGGCGTTTGAGGGTTTATTTTTTGGTTTTGGTTTTTTATTTCTGAGCTGTCACTTTATATAACCAGTGAAGACAGTCAGCCTGTTTTGTTCATTAAATATGCTTACCATTTAAGCATTTAATTATCCCTGGCCTCAGAACTGGCTACCTCACACTTGATACCTCTTATACATACTAAACCCCTCATAGAAAGAAGCTTAGTAAATATTAATTGAGTGGATAAACATCCTATCCAAAACAGATGTTATCTTGGCCTCCTGGCTGTTCTGGATCCCCTGCCACCTTTAGCATTTAAGCTATGGTTTATGGTGGCATGCCTAAAACTATTTAGTGTGCTTGTTTCTTAGAATGGACCTGGTGTGTGAAAATGGTTACTGATTGTCCGTTAAAATAAAAATTCCTCTTCTCTGGGTAATACTATATTCCTGTAGAATTTATTGAACAAAATTAAACTAATCCACCGATTAGAGAGTGAAGGACATGGAACAGAATAAAATTTGCAAAACAAAACAAAAAAAACCCAAATATGTAATTATGAAAAGTGTTTGTTACTATTTAGTTGAATGAACTTTGGCAGACTACCCCAAACTATTGTGAGAAATGTTAGGTAACTAATTAATGCTGGTTTCTGTTCTTCCAGCGTAACAATGAAAAGAAAAGCATTTATAATCTCAATGAAGATGAAGAATTAACTCATTATGGCCAATCTTTGGCAGATATTGAAAAATTTAATGACATTGTTGATAGTGACAGTGATACTGAAGAAAGAGGAATGTTATCTGGTAAGAATAATAGCAATATTATCACCTTATGCTAAGTTTCCTTCCTATTGATATGCTATTGTCCTTTTTCCTTTTGTTTCTAAAAGTAAATTGAGACCTGCAAAAGAAACACTGATGAACAAAAAAGATAAATTGACAAGTAATAACAGCCATAGACTTGGAAGGGACCTTTTAGATACCTGGTCTCATGTGTTTTATAAATGAAGCAAAGTGATAAACCCCAGAGAGAGAGTAACTTGCCCAAAGGCAATGCCAGACCTGCCACTGGAACTGGAATACTCTTTCTGTTCTACTTTCTGTGCTTGACCCTGTGCTGTTTAACATTTGTATAATTAACTTCGATAATAAAGGCATAAGTACAAATCAACCATAGGCATAGATCACCAATTTGTAAATGTCACAAAGCTTCAAGGAAGAGCTGACACACTGAGTCAAGATCCAGAAAGGTCTTGCCAGTTGAGAATGCTTGGCCAACCTGAACAAGATAAAATTAGAGAAAGTTCTACACTTAAGGGGAAAAAAGCAATTCCTCAACTTCAGAACAGGGGAGGTAAATATGTTACTCTTCAAGCCTATAATTTGTGATTTTGCTGTAAATCACACCATCATCATCATTATAATTATAATAGTAACCTGTAGCAGTTCCATTCTCCATTGAAATATTTCTCTGCTACGGCGTTATGGTATAGAAGTGACTCAGGGTTGGCATTACTGTGGCTCAGTAGCCAGATCTAACCCTACCACCTGTTTTGTATGGTCTACCAGCCCAGAATGGTTTTTACATTTTAAACAGGAAGTGGAATGGATTTGGCCATTAGACCATAATTTGCAGACCCTCGTCAGAGACTATTCCGTAGAAAGCTTGAAGAATAGGCCTATTGATATATATCGTGCCTGTCTTCTGAGAATTGGGATATGTGACTTCAGAAAGCTAATCAAAAAATTGTTCACTAAAGGATACATCTTTTTAGCCATAATGGCTAATGAAGGACATCTACCAATGTGGGGGAGGTGCTGTAGTCTATATCAGTACAAGGGACTACCTATACCCTGCAAAATAACCATTCCTTTGAAGTAATAGCCATCACATAGTATGTTTTATCTTTGTATACTTTTTTTACTAACAAAAGCAAATTTCTTTGAGAAGTGATGCCAATCTCTCTTTTTTTTTTTAAAGGGATGAACCCTAAGAAATTAAATGTTTTGCTTTCCTTTGTAAAAAGAAGTTAGAAATCAGGTCTTTCTACATCCTCTGCTTGTGAAATTACAGTAATGTAATTACGAATTGGGTTTTAGTTTTCGTTGACTTCAGGTCAGAATTTGTCAGCTTTTGCAAAATCTTGAGAACAATACAACACAAAGCTAAAAGATGTAATTTGGGCGGGGGAATTGTCATTTTTTTCCTTAAGCATATGGAAACCCAAGGAATATAAAGCATGTAACTGCCCTTTGATATTTGGATAAACCATTGGAAAAAAAAAAGGAATTGAAGCAACACATAGTTTAAAACCAGCTGTTCTGTGTAAGAACACTGGGAGGTAAAAAGCATGACTCTTAGGCAACATTGTTGTCAAATTATTCTGCCAGATGCTGGGTGATTTTTAAAGAGAAATGGTCACCATTTTATTTTTCCTTTCTCTTTTCAACTTTACATTGTTTCAGATCATTTTGTGGCTGTTCAACAATAAACTTCATGACTTTTGTCCTCCATTTGGCCTTTATGATTTACTGGATAGTGCTGAAGAGAGCACCTTCCTCTCCCAGATAAGTTCTGTTTTAACTTTTTTAGTAATAGATTGACCTCCACGATTTCTATAGTTGAAGTTATACACAAAACAATTGGTCTTGCATTTTCCAAAACTGAAGCCGTGGTTTCTAACATTGACCTGAACTCCAAGCTAGATGTTTTGGGATATTTTTGAGGGAAGTTTATTATAGCAGCCATCTAATTATGTGAGAGTGAGAAGGGAGGCATGTAATTTTTTCAGAATGATTTTAAAATGATATTTTGGGACATGGATGAATAAAAAATGGCAAAGCTTTTGAAATTGAATCTTTCCATACTCTTCTATCTCAATTAAAAAACAATTTAGTTGATAAGAGGGAGAGGAAACAAATGGAGGTGTAAATGACAGACATAATTTTTTTTATATCAATTGCAGAATTTTGTAGACATCTGAAATTTTGACTAGAATAATTTCCTTGTGGATTATGTGTTGCCTTTTGTAGAACTAGGAAGTTTTGGCAACACACAGTTTGTATTGTATGTGTTCATCTGTGTTTTGTCAATTTAGTGTCTTGGAATGTTTGACCTTGCCTAATTTTCCGCATCTGGTGTCTTGAAGGGTTGTGTAACATCCAAATGCCCTCTAGACAAAATCAGACCATCTTAGCATCTGCCAACAGAGCTACAGACCAGAACATTCCTACATCTTGTACCCCAGAATCCCCTAGTGACTCTAAATCAGTTGGTTCCAGACCCCTCTAAAAACCCCTTAACCAGTTAGTGCCTTCAAGGCAGCTTCTGACAATCTGGCTGTGCCAAACTTGAAATCACGAGAGCCCTTGACATTTAGCATGAACATGTCTCTTAAACTCAGTGAGATTCATTTTCCTCTTCTGTAAGATGGTGGTAAATACCTGCTGTAGTGTCTACCTCACAGGATTAGTATGAGGATCCAAACCTTCAGGCACTTTGTAAGTGTCAGTCCTTATCGTGAGGAGGATGTATCTGGGTCAGGAATATTTCATTCTCACGGCCATTGCTGTACCATCTTGGGGGTCCTGTGGGGGGTTATCTTCTCTTCCCCCCCCCGCCAAATCATTTGGGAACTTTCTACGAGAAAAACAGCAGTATTTTCTAAGACAGAGAACTGAGAAAACTAATTGTGACTGTATTCGTTTGAGAAAAAAAAAGTCCAAAGAACATTAGATTTAGTGTTAGAAGACCTGATTTTGAATCCCAGCTCTGCTTCTTACTGTTTTTGTGACCTTAAGAAAATAAATTCCCCTTTCTGGGCCTCAGTTTACTCCTCTGTAGAAAAGAGATTAGACTAAATAATTTCTTAAGAACCCTTCCAGGTCTAAATTCTGTAACCCTACTAACTTGAAAAAATCTGGAAATCTTTCAGAATCATTATATCTTCTTTATTTCAAGAGTATTTGGGAAGGTGTTTTTTTCTTAAGAAAATAAATTAATAGCCATTTAATGAGTACCTTTACTTGGAAGTACAGATGAAAATGAGTTACAGTTTAACTCTGAGTGTAAGGATGGGAAGAGTACTAGAACACCTACCAATAAGAACTAAAGCCAAATGTTAACCCTACCATTTACTAGCTGTGTGATCTTGAGCAAATTGCTTCACCTCTCTAAGACTCAGTTTCCTTCCCTGTAAAATAGGAACAATACTTCTGTGATCAACCCCATAGCTTCTTCATGAGAGAAGTGTTAAGAAAAGTGCTTTGTAATTAAAGTGCTTTTTAAAAAAGTTACCTAATGGGGGCAGCTAGGTGGCGCAGTGGAGAGAGCACTGGCCCTGGGTTCAGGAGGACCTGAGTTCAAATCCAGCCTCAGACACATAACACTAGCTGTGTGACCCTGGGCAAGTCACTTAACCCCATTGCCTAACCCCCCCCCCAAAAAAAAGTCACCTACTAAATATGAAGTAAAACCTTATTAAGTAACATATTGGTCTCTCCAAAATAACTTGTCATTTGGAATCTAGCTCCCCTGATGACTGGATATTTATTTTAAAAATCATTTCTTTGAAGCTGTTTATATTATTGAATCTTCACTAAGAAGTATTTATAAAATCAGCCGTTGGCAAAAATAGAGAAATTCAACTTTGTCCATGAATGAAGAGCATTTATTAAGTGCTTACCCTGTGCTAAGTGCTGTCCAGACAACCAGAAAAGTCAGACAGTCCTTGTTCTTTAGTAACTAATGTTCTAACTGAGTGAGAATACATCCCTAAGAGGGTTCAGTTTCGAGACTGGTGAGAAAGCCTCATGGTCCTTAAGATTGAACTGCAGGGTAGATAGTAAGGCCTGATGGTCTGGCACAAGAGCAGGGCAGATGATAAGGCCCAGTGATCCACCATTTTACTCGATGGATTATAGCTGAGGACTCCCTGCTCTTTGAAGTGCTGTGAGTGGCCACATGTGCCCTGAAAGCAAGAGGAAGACCTCTGAGAGGCCTGGTCTACTCCGTACTCTTCAGTGCCCAATGGGATCCTTTCATCTCTCCTTCATGTTAAAAAAAGAAAACACCCTAATTTTAAAAAATACCTTAAATACAATATGTATGTGTATGGTGTGTGTATCTATTTTAATTTGTATAACACATGTTTCTGAAAGGTCAAGTATAATTCAAATCATAGCTGAAATGCACCAAAGGAAACTGTTTTAAAAGACCCTTCTGATGAATCCTGTAATATGTAATCCCTGAATATAGAGTTTATTGAACATGAATATTTATATGATTTCAGGTAATCATTTTCTAGGTATAGAACAGGAAGATATAAGACACTAAACTAAATGTAATCCTAGAGCACAACTGGAAGCTGATTTCTTTTTAAAACTTCTATCTCATCTAGCCTTCCTTTTTCCAATAAATCCCTGATTTCATTTCATTTCCTTGCGTTTTGCTCCTTTCTCCTCAAAAGTTGATTTCAGGGGGGAAATAATCCTGATAATCAAAGGTTCTAATGGTAGGGTTAAGTTTCAGTACATTGGATTTGCCTGAAGACTCAGATGTAATATTTGATAAGTGCCATTATGTATATGTTGTGTTCAAGATGGTCTGTATGAATTTTTTGCTTGAATGTGGAATTATTCAGTCCTTCTTATGACTAGTCTAGGAGAAATGTTGGCAGAGTACTGTAATAGTACACTCCCAAACCGTGAATCTGTGTGTGGTTCATGTTAGTTCTCATCACTATTTTTCTGCAGCTGAGTTAACTGCTTCCCATTTTGGAGGAGGTGGCGGTCTCCTTCGAAAGAAAGCCTCTGAACCGGGAGAGGAGGAAGAGAAACCAAAATCACGCAAAGAACTTATTGAAGAACTCATTGCAAAATCAAAACAAGAAAAGGTGGGTTTATGTTCTTAGCATGGAACAATTTAGTAATCATGAAAGTAAATGCCACATCATGGAAAGACATACAGAAAGATTTTGTGTGTGTATGATTTTATCATATTTAGACTATGTTTAAATGCTTTAAAATGTGATTAAAAATAATTACTTTTAAATATAAATATTTTGTAAAAGAAATAAAGTCCTATTCCACTGTGACATGACAGTGGGGGGAGTAAGCTCTGGCAAATTTTGCCATGCTGGGAAAGCTCCGACTATGCCCCTGATAAGAGACCAAGTTTTTGGGGGTTTTTTTTCCATCACATCTGCTAAGCTGATTACAGAGTTGTATGTGACCAGTAGGTTGGCCTCCTGGAGATAAATCAGTTTTATTTGTTTCACCTCTCCAAGACTCAGTTTCCCTCCCTGTAAAACAGGAGTAGTACTTATGTGATCTACCTCACAGCATTTTCATGAGACAGTAATGAGAGAAGTGTTGAAACAAAAGAAAATGAACCATGATCTTCTGTTCTGTGCCTTCTCCCTCCTGCTTCGGCAGTGATGGTGGCAGAGAGGCAGGAAAGGAGGCAGAGAGCAGCAAGAATCATGTATGGACTTTAGACCATCAATATATTTCCATTTACCTTTTGGTATTCTAAATGTGAGATGCTTCACCAGTAACCAACAAATAGACATGTCACCAGAGGGGCTTAAAATCATATTATTCTTGACATGCCTTGCTATAAGCAAAACCAGAAAGAAAAAGAAGGAAGCTACAGTTAATTGGAAGACTGGTTCGTGGGTACTCCTTGGACAGGCAAAGAAAGAAGCTGGCTGAATGGATTTTATCAGACACCCAGAGGCAACCAGAAACATTTTTTCATGGGATATTTGGTTATTATGTGTTATGATACTAGTAAATAAGGACAGAAAGTCCATCATGAGAATAATGGCAGCCTGGACACATCCATCAGTTGGTGAGGATGAAATGTACAGAAATTTTGTAAAGATTGCATGCCTGCAGTCCTGTCCATACCCAGGTTCTGTGAGAATCCTCCATGCTTGAATCAAGTGCATCGTCAGTGACGGCCTTAGTGAGGAGCAAGCAGGCTTTCACAAATGATATTCCATAATGGACCACTCTTGACCACCTCACAGTTGTGAAAAAGACATGGTGAGTTATTCAGATCCCATTGTACATGTTGCTGACAGTGAAAAAATTTTTAATTAATTTGCTAGAATAAAATGCTACAAGCTTTTTTACAGCAAAAGTATTTTAAGATCATTCAGGATTCCTTAGAATATGTCAAAACAAGTAATGCTATTCCATGACCCCTCTGATTGCAAACATTAGAGGAGCCATTAAACAGGGAAATGTATACCTATCAAAGTTATTTGTCACTGTGAAGGAGGAAATCCAGCCTAAGAAGGGATTCTCTGTTGATATTAAGGTCCTTCAAATACTGCTGTTTGCACATGGCATGCTGATTACATCAGACCCCCAGGACATTGCTGAGCCTCCTAGAAGAAATCTTTAATAACTCTACTGTGTAGACCTGCCCATCTACACAGATGCTTCATTCACATCTACATGTGAATGAAGAATGTCCATTGCTCTTATTTCAATTTGTATTTGGATGGAAAAACTGCCCCCAGGATTGAACAGAAAGAAGATAGCAGGCTGTAATTGCAAATAGCAAATTATGAAATGAAAGCAAAGACCTATCTTTTCAATACTAACATTTTACTGGTCTTGTGTATGGCAGCATGATGCCACTAAAGAACTAAAAATGAGTATCAACCAGAAGGCAGTGGAGCGCATCCAGCAACATAGAACCAAGGAGGCACTCCCCAGAGAAACAGGAGTAATGGATGTCAGCAAGGAAGAAGAGAAGCTGCCCTGCTCATCGTGTCTCAAGAGCAGGGTCACAGTGTTGTGCTGGTCCCCTCAGAAAGTCAGGAGAAAGCAGGGAAAGCTTCCAGTGTGGAGGTTGAACACCCAGTACTGAAATTTTGGAAGAACGTGGAGGAGGGTCTTAGGCCTGGAGGGGCTGCAATGTGCTTCATTGGAGGAAACTCCCAGATTGATGAGATCCCAGATCCATTTCAGTATAGATTATGTTAACTCTTACCTAGTACATACTAATAGTTTCAGTGATGAGACACTTGCATAAAATATATTATTAAGAGTGTAATTTAGATTCTACTTATGATTAATTTTTTTTCTCTTTCAAACATTCATTTGATAAGCATCATGCTTCCTCTGCTGTGTACATGACTTTTATAGTCATTGGGATAAAGAATATGTTGTTGAGGTGAAGAACTATATTCACAGGTAGAGAAGACATTGTCTCTGATTCTCAGAAACTTTCTGTCTTGAAAGGAAGATAAAATAGGCACATTAGCAAACTGTGTGATACAAAATAAAACATAATGCATGCATGAATAAGGTACTAGCACAATGCTCTATTCGTAGGTAGGAGAGGTCAGTTAGATTGATAGGAAATCGTATCCCTTTCATTTTACAAATGAAGAAAATTAAGTTCCAGGGAGATTAGAATGACTTCTGTAAGGTCATACAAATCTGGGAATTTGAATCCAAGTCCTGTGACTCCAGATTTGGTGCTCTTTCTCTATTGTAGGGGCTAGGGGAAAGAGATAATGGGAAATTTAACAGCAGAGGAGGGGGTGTGTTGAAGGGACCTTACTGGAAGTGTATCATTTTCATAAGCAAAGGTGTAGCATTTTAGATAATTTTGTTAACGAATCATAGGTAGTAAGATAATGGATTTTTAAAAATCTATTAATTTTTATCTTTTAGAAATAAACATCAACTTGTGCTGTTTCTGTTTGTATTGTCATATGTTGGCTTTGGACTATGTGGTTGCTTCTTTTTTTGCTAAAAACTAGAATATTTAGTCTGAAGAGAATACTAATGATTTAAGGAGATTTGTTTTTTTTTTCCCTAGCGTGAGAGACAGACTCAACGAGAAAATGCCCTTGAACTCACTGAGAAATTGGACAGTGATTGGAAGGAAATCCAGTTTCTGCTATCTCACAAAACCTCCAAATTGGAAAAAAAGAATAAAGAAGAGAAACCTAAGGTAAGAGCCAAACCATTTAACTAAATACTGAACTGAATGTCTTCTAATTATTTCAGCCAGGGCAGAGTCTTTAAGGCCATCAAGTCTGTGCTGGCCCTTTTTCTTTTATTCAATAGTCATTCATTCCACCACCAATTATTAAGGACCTCCTATGTACAAAGTAGGACGTGGTCCTTGCCCTCGAGGAACTTAGAGACTTACAGGGCCCGTGAGATATGCACAAACATGAGGTTGCTGACACAGAATGGAATGTGGTAAGAGTGTAGAAAATCTACAATGGGCTGTGTAAGATCTAAGGTGGAATGCGCATTTCCAACTTGAGGGGTAGGAGAGGATTCATGGAGACAGCAACATTTGAACTGGGGCTTGAAGAATCATAGGATTTCAATAGGCAGAGTGAGGAAGCCATTCCATGCCTAAGGAATGGCAGAAACCAAGGCACCAATGTGAGAAAGAGCCCTGGAAATGTAGAGGGGACAAGGAATGGTCCATTCTGACTAGAACTTAACATACCTGAAAGGAAGAAGTATGAAATAAGATGGGAAAGGCACCAGGGCATCCACATATAGTTCCTTTTGGCTTTAATCTTTTGTCTTGGGTTCTAGATTGTCCATTTAAAAAAATTACCCTATTGACGTCTTGCCAGTGTGAGGGGAATCTAAATTACTTTCAATATTAACAGACCTTTCAGATGGGTATATTTTACCCTTCCCCCAAATGGCCTAGTTTCTAGACTTAGGAGAAGTTTCAGTGTTAATTTTTTTTTTCAAATAGTCTTCTGTCCTTTCTAATAGACAAATAAATTCTTTCTCAAATACATTTATTTTATTATTTATCCAGTTGATTCCTAAGTACTCTTTTTTTTTTTCACTCCCAGTTAGTTAAAAACACTCTCTTAAATTGAGTAGCTACTCTTTGGAAAACAGCTCTCATTTGCCCAGACTTTTTGATTTCATCTGACTCTCCGTAATTCTTTCTCAGCAAGTTAGGTGTTTTGAGCCAACCTTATCATTCCTGACATTTTAACAGATTTCCCATACAGTAAACATACAATAGCATGAAAGGTCCCCTCCAGCCCTAGAAAAATTCTGTTTTTATTAATTTAATGCGTAAATATTTTTATTTTTGAGTGAACACTATTTTTGCTAATCCACATGTTTTGAGAGAGATTTTCTAATCTTCCAAGACCTTCTTTTTCATTGATCTCTTTAATCTGTAAGTAGTATTACGATAGTTTTTCTTCTGGCAGAAGAGAGTTAGATGTGGCTTGGCTGTTTCCAGACCTAGCCATTGCTAACTGTTGCCAGACCTCTGTTGGCAGAGGTCTCTGAAAGACAAAGCACTTCTAACTGAAAGGACTTGTTTTCCCTTAGCCTGATGCATATGACATAATGGTCCGGGAGCTGGGATTTGAAATGAAGGCGCAGCCCTCAGACAGGATGAAAACTGAGGAGGAGCTGGCTGAAGAGGAGCAAGCACGACTCAAGAAGCTAGAGGTACCTCAAACCCAGTTGCTTCTTTCCTGTTGTAGCCTTAGAACTAATGGTGCTGGTCTTCTTGAGTCAAAAAAGGCTGAACAGCAGCAAGAAGTGATGGAAGTGCTTCAGTTTATCGTGTAAGACTGTTTCCATTTCCCTTTCATACCCAAAAGAGGTGTTTAAAGAAAATGCTACAGCCTGAAAATTCAGCCTCCAGATATCTTCTGTTATCCAGTAATTTCATCTTGGCCTAGTATTATTAAGTGGTATTAATTCACAGACTGAAAATATACATTGTATCCTATCAGTGGCATCATTTAGCATATTTAGAAGAGTTCTTTTTGAGAGATTTTATTTCATGCACTTGTTACTTTGTGTACAAAGAGTAACTGGTGAAATATCTCTGTCCCTAGGATGTGTGTGTATGTATATATACATACATACGTGTATATATCTCCAATAAGAAATGGCTTTATTTGACTGGAAAGACTGTAAGAATAAATATTGGGGGGGTTTTGTGACTATAAAAATGTTTCTGCTATGACTAAAGATGTAAGGCCTTCAACTGCAAAGAAAACCATTTTCTTTGGTAAATAGGATATGCTCTAAAATCATATAAGACTTGTAATGTATTTGTTAGTTTTATTGAAGAAACCTAAGTAGAAAACATTTATAAAGCATTCAAAATCTGACATGAATCCACAGAACAAGGAAATTCAGATTGGGGAGTGCACAGTGTAAATGCTCCAGTGTCTTTTACCACCTCTGGTAGTACAGTGAGTCACCCAGAACATAGCAAAACATTCTTAATCATTAACTCAGCAAGTTAGTGTTGACAGCAAGGTGCCGAAGTTTTGTGTCTTGTCTTACCTGCCAACATGGAAACATTTTTTATTGTTATCGTTCTTGTTCGGGACAGGCTGATAGACTTCGCCGGATGCTTGGAAAGGAAGAAGATGAAAATGTTAAGAAACCAAAGCACATGTCAGCAGATGATTTAAATGATGGCTTTGTTCTAGATAAAGATGATCGGCGTCTACTTTCTTACAAAGTAAGAACTTAGGGTTTTCAGTGTCCCAAGTTATTTAAAAATCACTTTTCAAGTAATAGTGTTGTCTAGTGAATTTATCTTAATGGTGTACTCTTTTGAAGGAAGCTATTCATTTTTTCTTTAAAAAGGCAGGTTCTACATAGTGCTATGTCTAGATGTTTACTGATATAATCAAATGTCAGAACATTATTGAGAAGATGGTAATAATACCTATCTGCCTCACCTCCCTGGAGAAGGTTCACAGATAGTAAAATCAGTGAGATCAGCATTATTTACTGTTCATTTGTTCACTTCAGCTGTTCCTTATCACAGGTGAGTGGTTTATCTGTAAACCTGTTTTAATACAGTAGTACTCATAGTTTAGGTAGCTAGCATGGCTTGAGTTTTAAATGTCAAGTTGAATAGCTATAATTCACTTCATCGATTATTAATTGCCTGATCCCCCTTAAGCACTGGAGTTTAAAGTAAAGTTACTTCCTGCAAGGCCCTTATAGTCTAACATTTGCCACAATTCTGAAATGTGTTCACCTTGAAACAGCCAGGAAGGGGCCTTTGAATCATAGACTTTTAGTATTAGAAGAAATGTCCAAGATCATGGATTCCCGCTTTTTCCCAAAGCATAAATTCCCTCTCCAACATGCCTCACAAACAATCACGCTCCGCCCAAACATCTCCAGAGATGAATTCTTCCTGCTCACAGTTTGATTTTTATTTTTTAACCCCATCTGTTAAAAGCAAGTTTGTCCTTCTAGTGAATTGAAATTTATCCCCTTGTTCTGTCTACTCCTTGGTCTTAGTTCTCTCATCAGGGGCAAAGCAGGTTAAATTTCATCATCTTCCATATGACAACCCTTAAAATATTTTAAAAGAGGGATCATGTTCCCCCTAAGACCTTTCTTCCCAAGGCTAAACATTCCCACCAGTCCTCATCGAATGTTTTCAGATCCCCTTTCCATCCTGGCTGCTGGGCTCTTGTCACATTGCTGCTTGTCAGCATTCCTATGAAGTGGGGCCCTCAGAACTGAACACCATATTCCACATGTGGTCTGACCAGGGTGGAGAACAGAAAGACCGTAAACTCCCTTGTTGTAGACATCATGCCTCTGCTCACGCAGCCTTAGAGCAGGGAAGCTGATGAACTTGGCACATAGCTGACTGCCAGCTCCTTCCCTCTGCCTTGATCATCCATGTCTCCCTCACAACCTAGCACATGAGGTCAAGTCAAGTCAGCAAGCCCTTTTTAAGCACTTACTATGTGCTTGACACCGTGCTAAGCACTAGGGATGCAAAGAAAGGCAGAGTTTGGGGGATGTGGAGGGTAGTGAGGTGACTTGTGCAAGAATCAGCCCAGAGGCCAGTGTTACCTCTTGGAGCATTGGAGTAGAGAGAGATGTAAGGAGACTAGAGAGATCGGGAGAGGCCAGGTTACAAAAGACTTTAAAGACCAAACCAGATTTCTGTACTGGATCGTGTGGACAAAAGAAAAGGCTGTAAAGGAGAGTCTGGAAGCAAAGCTAGTATTGTTCTGCCTGACTCTTGGTAGTAGCTGCAGATAGTCCTTAGACCCTGCTTTAATTGTGCCCTGGTGAGGTTACATTATGCTCACTTCCATCTTTACTCTTTTATCTCAAACATTTTGTCTTAACTATTGTGCCTACTGGTTATCCTATAAATGACTGATTTTTTTTTTCTGTTATAAGGATGGGAAGATAAATCAAGAAATGGATGACCCTAATGAGGAGGAACAAGCCCAGGAAGGCAGTGAAGAAGACAGTGAAAGGGAGGGAGATAAAGAGTCAGATACTGGGGATTCAGAAGAAAGTGATGCCCCAGACAGTCACTCCGATCTTGAATCTGATGTGGACAGTGAGGAAGAAGACATTGTGCGTGAGAATCAGAAGAAAAAGCAACTCCAGGCACCTGAAAAAAAACCAAGTGATGCTAACCAAAAAGCAAGGATGGAAGCTGCTAGATCTGAACTCCCGTACACGTTTGCTGGTAGGCAAACACCTGGGTTTTTCTAGTATCTTAGATGACTCAAAAAAGCTCTCTACACTTCACCTTCTATATCTGTAAGGGAAAAAAAATCAAATCACAAAGGAAATCACATAGTTTTTCCTTTGGTTTTTATGTCAGTACCCTCGTACCTCTTCTGGGTACCTCTTGGGAGAATTTAGCTAGGTTAGCATTTACCCAATTAATCAACCCTGTTATATTGGTGATCAGTGTCTCTGGGTGAGAACATGGAGTAATTCCTACCATCATAGGGGCTTTGGGCTATTGGGGTGTAGTCAGTGGTACAGAAATCCTGGAATTTAAGTCGTTTTCCTGTATGACTGTAGGGCACTATGAATAGGCCAAGTTGCTAAGCCAGTGCAAATCAGCCTCTTCTTGTATGAGACCTTCCACAGTCATTTCCTAATTAATGTTGTTAAGCAGAAACAGTTTTTGTGGTATGTGGAATAAGTTTGTTAGTAAAGAGGCTTTGTCCAAGCAAACTACCACTTTATCTCAGTGAACAGCCTTGGAAAATGGATCCTACTTGATGGGCTTTTCCATGGAAAAGGCTTCTCCTTTTAGACCTGTGCTGTAAATGTGCAGATAAAAAGTGCCTCTTAGGTGGTACATGACTCAGTCACTGTTTGTACTGCCTCCTTGTCTCACCTCACAGAACTCCCTGGTGATGTCACCTACATGTTTTTTTGCTAATCCACACTGTGCTTTGGCCCAGTAAAACAGGGACTCTCTGTCTCTGATCATGCTGTCTGTCCTTCACTGCTTCCATGTGATGGCTCATCTACAATAAATAGCATTTATTGTGGTTGAGGAATGGAAAACGGGAATCAGTGAAATACAAGAGGCCAGCGTTGAGAGAAACAAGATGTAGAGGAGATTGAAGCAATACTGTCTTAGGAAGGTTTTCAGAGAGAGGCAACGTGGCGTGATGGTTAGAGATGTGGCCTTATAGTCGAAAAGTCCAGTCCTGCCTCTGCCATAAATTGACCGTGTAACCCTGGGCAAGTCAGCTAACTTTTCAGTGACCCAGGCATTAAGTTGGAGAGCAGCTTCCAGTCTGCTTTGGTAAAGGGAGATTGCTCACTGGTAGCTACCTGTGTCAGTGATATCCTAAGTCCAGACCAAAAGGTTTTCAGAAGTAAGGACTTTTACATGCACTTTGGGTTAGGGCCTTTCCTCTGTCATGATGATATCTGTCATCATTCAGAAACTTGGTGGTGCCTCCCCATTCCCTATGGGATCAAACCCAAACTCCTCAGTTTGACATTTGGCACCATCCACATTCTGGCTCCTCCTCTGCATCCAGCCTGAGAGCTGACCACGTCCTGTTTTGTACCTTCTGCTCCATCAAGACTTGGGTCCTCACTAATTACAATGCATTTCCAATTCTACTCTAAACTAAACTGGTCCTCTCAGTCAGTATTGGGGTTCAGGGCACAGGGATGGAATGGTGTGGTGGGAAGAGAACTTTGTTGGGTGTCATCAGACAGCCTAGTTCTGAATCTGTCTTCTTACCACCTTTGTGTATCCGGTGCCTTCTATGTCCTCATCTGTAAAATCAGGGAGCTGAATTAGGCAATCTCTAAAGTTCCTTCCATTTCTCAGTACCGTGGTCCTCTGAACTTTAGCTCAGCCTCCTTTTTGAACTTTTAAGATGATTCTCCATGGAAAAATATTGTGGGGTTATTCCTTTAATGAGATTTTGGGTAATCATTCCTTTGATAAGATTTTTGAGCCTATAAAATTCAGTATGAAATTAAAATAAGCTTCAGGATTTCCTCAGTATAAACAAGCAGCAAACATTAAATATATTTATCCTTTTATATTTAGGATCTGCCAAAGGAAATAACTTCTTAGAATCACAAATCTAGAGCTAGAAGGGGCCTCAGGTGCTAAGACTAAGCCCCTCATTTTATAGATGAGGACACCAAGTCTCAGGAAGAGTAAGTGACTTCTTGCTGTCATACGCACAGGTAGTAAGAATCAGAAGCCATATTTGAACAGCTGAGTTTCTTAATTCCAGAGCCAGTATGTTCTCTACTGTACCACACTGTTTTTAAAGGAAATTAAATTTTCACTGTAATGGGCATGATTATTCTTCAGGAACAAAGTGTTTTCATTTGCTTTTTGGATATACTGTTTATGAAATATTTTTGGTTATTTTTTTATAGCTCCTGATTCCTATGAGGAGCTTAAGTCTTTACTCTCAGGAAAAACAACAGAACAGCAGCTTGTGGTGGTCGAGAGAATTCAGAAATGCAACCATCCAAGTCTTGCTGTGGGAAACAAAGCAAAATTAGAGGTATGTCTACGTGTTTGGAGTTGGAGGACTCTGAAGGGCTGTGTTCCTAGCTTAAGTCTGTTTACAGGACTGCTGTTGTCTAGAGTGCTGCTGTAACACAAAGTGGGCAGACATTTCCACACTGCCAGGATCACTGTCAGTAAAGACTGGTTAAGTGCTGAGCGCATGCACAACTCAGAGCTGGGGGACATGCTGATCGTGTTTTAATTCCCATATGGGCTCAGATTCTACAGTTTACTCAAGCACTGCTCGTTTTTGACTCTTTCTTCTTCTGTATCCAGTTAATCACTAAGGTCCTGTTTATTCTCCCTTCTAGTTCTTTCTCACACTCGTCCTCTTCTTGTCCTTTCAAGTTCCACAGCCCTTATTTCTGAATTATTAAATGGTCTTCTGGTCTCTAGACTCTCTCTCTCTAAGGTAGCATATGCACAGTTGCATTTCTAAATTGCTTCTAGCATGTTAGCTCTTGCTCAGGATTCTTCATTGTCATCAGATCAAATCCAAATTTCTCAGCCCAGTTTTTAGGACCCTCCACAGTCTGGCCCTGTCCAGTTTTCCTTTCACTCTTTCTCACAGTATACCCTCTGCTCCAGCCGTGCTGATCTAACCAGCTAATGAACTTCAGAATTTCACTTAAAATTAACTCAGAATGATAGAATGGATTTGGAGTTAGAGGATCTTGGTTCAAATACTTGGTTCTATGACTTATTAACCTGGGTGACCTTGGGTAAGTCACTTAACTTTGTTGGGCCTCAGTTTCCTTTTTTGCCAAATGATGTGGTGACTTTTAAGGTCCCTTTGAATTCTAATCTAAATTCTGTGAACTGGAACCTATACAGTTTGAACCCATCACTTTGTCCTCACTGTCATCACTTTGACTCTGAGTCTAATGAGAGCTAGGTTCAGTTCTCAACTCCAGACCTGAGGCAAATCACTCAGCCTCTTAGCCTTGATGTTTTTTTATCTTATAAAATGGAGATAATCATACCTGTTGTCCCTGCATCTCAGGGTTGTCATGAGGCTCAAGTCCTCCAGTTATAAATATTAAACCACCATGTAAATGTCTCATTTTGTTATTATTATGTCATAGTCCGTGTTCTACTCAAACCACTCATGGCAACCAGCTATAAAATGTGCGTTCATTGTGTGTAGGACACTGAGCTAAATGCTGCAGGCAATATACAGGTACAATTCCTGCCCTTGAGTTAATTACGGTACAGTGGGTTTAAGATAAGTACACCAACACTTATAAAAGACAGAGTATGGTTAGTGACACCAGATACATACACATCAGAGACATGGTGATTCAGAAGGAAAAAAGGAAATCACCTCCATATTGGGGCTGGGGAGAATTGGGTTAGGCAGCATCTAAGGTGGGCCTTAGAGGAGGAGCAGGGTTTTGGCAGGCATTGTACGGGAAAGAACCTTTCTGGTGGGTGGACAGCATGAGCAAAGACAGAGAGGTAGGAAATTATGAGACTTGTTAGAGAGCCAGACGTGGTCCAGCATGTTTTTTTTCCAAACTGCTTTCACATTAGTTTTGTCATTTATATCTTCAATGACTACCCTGTGAGTTAGGACAGGTGGTATCATTATTATCTCCATCCTATAGAGGAGGAAACTGAAGATGACACCTTGCCCAGCATGAAACAGCTAATTCCATGACAGAATCCAGACTGAAATAGATGTCATCAAAGATGTGACTCTTACCAAAAAGAGTTTTCACTTTAGTGATCAGAAGCATGTAAGGCCAGACAAGAAAAATCCTCCAGCAGCAACAATCTAAAGCAGCCAGTTGTGATTTATGGACAGGTCTCCCTCAATCTGCTGCAGATTCCTGTATCGCTTGTTCTGTACCACAAAATTTAGCACTTACGCATACTGTCGTGCATTGTTCAAAACTGTTTTATTTGTGTTGGTCTCATCTTCTTAGATTGTTAGTTTCTGAAGGGCAGAGCCTTTGTCTAATCTTCATTCTTTATATCTGTGTGTCTGTATTTCTGTATCTTGACAACCTAATGTGAGGCAAGGGTGCTCGATAAATACGTGGTGACCATTCTGTTGTTTAAGCCTTGCTTTCAGTACCGTCTGTTGGGTAGGCAGAAGGGGAGAATTCGATCAAAGCAGTAGAAAGTGTCCCAGGCAGGGCCCCAGGCTACCAGAACCATATCTCTGCTACCAGTTGGCTCTGCAACCTTGAGCAAGCCCTTCCCCTCTCTGACCTCATCTGTCAGCTCTGTAAAATGGGGTGGTTAGACTAAATGATGTCTGTCTTTAGGATACTGATTATATTCTCTGACTTGGTGACTTTAAGGGAAGAGTAAATAAGAGAAAGGGAAGAGAGAGCAACAGAGATGAAATGGGGAGGAGGGAAGAGAAGGTATTGTTGACAGGTGACAGTCTAGTCTGGCTTTTTTTTCCATCCTTGGTGGTCCTCAGTTCTTTTGCTACATATTCCATCCTGCCTGCAGCTCCTCTTGTATTCCCTCTTCCATTACTTTGATACATTCCGGCAACTACTCCCAGGAGTGAGGAAATCTGGGATGTATGACATTGGTCAAGTCACTTTCCCTCTGAGGATTTTGATTTCCCTAAATATACCGCTGTTAATTTCATCAGTGAACCTTGAAATTGCAAATGATCTAGTCCCTTGATGTCTTTCCACATGTTTTTAGGTAGAAATCCTGGGTACTGATAGTATTCAAACTGGATGAGAATTATTTTCCTTTTAATATCAGTATATCATTTTCTTGTTGGTGTCCTTACAGAAATTATTTGGCTTCCTCTTGGAGTACATTGGGGATTTGGCCACTAAGGCTCCACCAGATCTGAAAACTATTGACAAGTTAGTTGTGTAAGTAAAACATGGTATTACATTGACTAAGATAGACTCTGAGAATTTTTGTCATCTTTAGAATCATCAAAAATGCATCCTGGATTTTATAAAAGGACGAGCACAGGCGTAGCCCTCTAGGCCCTCAAGTACAGCCCTTTGACTGAATCCAAACTTCACAGAACAAATCCCTTTAATAAAAGGATTTGTTCTGTAAAACTTGGACTCAGTCAAAAGGCCACACCCAAGGACCTAGAAGGCCACATGTGGCCTTAAGGCCACAGGTTTCCCACCCCTGGACTAAGGTTTTGTGTGGCCACAGATGTAAAGGGCTGTCTGTGCCCCTTAAATGTTTAAAGTCTGTTAGACCAAGAAAGGGACCTTAGGGAGCATCTGATCCAACCTTTTTATTTTATAAAGGAAGAAGCCACTGTCCAGAGAGGGAAAATAATTTACCCACAAGTCATATAGTGAAATTAGTGGCCAAGTCTAAACTAGAGCACAGGTCTACTAGAAAAGCTATGGTCTTGATCACCCAGAAACCTAGCAGAATATGATTTTGGCCAAGATCTTCCAGTTCTAACTATTAACAAGAGTCCAGTGTTGAATCCAGTCAGTGAGAACTTACAGGTAGCTCTCTGTATTGGTGTCGCAATGAGGTGGTTTTCTGGTTGGGTTATTTTTTTTCTTCTCTTGGTTTTACTATCTGGTGTAGTCGAATGATGACTTGTATTTCTGGTTAACAGGCAGTTGTACAATCTTTGCCAGATGTTTCCTGAATTTGCAAGCAGCTCTGTTAAATTTGTCCTCAGAGATGTTGTACATGAGATGGAAGAAATGATTGAAATAAAAGGCCGTGCAGCATTTCCGGGATTGGACGTGGTAAGTAACATGTTCTGTTGGCTAAAAATTGGTTACTTTTCCCACAATGTACAACAGTTTAGACATTAAGTTCTATTCTACATTTCATGAAAAGGCTAATTATTAGAATACAATACAGCATTACTTCTAAGGTTTGTGTAGTCCCCAGGGCTTCTTGAATAATCTGAAAAATGGAGTAGAATAAGACCTGGAAGACTTTTTCATGTACAAACAATTAACTAAAATGTTTTTAATAAAAAAGAAGCTTCAATTTGATTCAAAATCAGTAGAACCTTGTTTTAATTTTGATGCCAAATAGAATTAAAACAACTCATTATGATAATGATCATTTAATTCTGTAGCACCATCAGGGAGATCCCCATACTAGTGGAATCCAAGACCCTGACCAAAATCAAAGTTTGTCAAGTGCTTTCCTTCAGCAGCTCTGGGGGAGCCTCATCTTTGTGGCCATGTCTTCCACTAGGCCTATTCTCTGACCCATCCCAGCTTAGGATATTCTCTTCCAAGGTCACCACTACACGCTGACGGGGCATCAGAGTAGGGTAATAAGCAGGAGGAGAAGTTAAGCAGCATGCATTAATATCTCCATGTTACTAAGGAGGTTTAGAGAGACTTGTTACTTAGTGTTGTTGATGCCTGCACTCAAAACTCCCAAATTTTCTTACTCCAAGTTCAGTGTTTTTCCTTTGAGACCACATCATCTCCCTTAAGCCCAAATTAACTTATTTTACTAATGGTCAAAAACATATATTGGTCTCTTTTTCTCAGTAGTAGCACTATCAGGAATATCTGAACCACTTTTAATGACTATCCTCTTGATATAGTTGTATACAGTGCACCTTAGACTCACATGGCTTTTATGGATAAAAAGCTCTTGTGTTTAATGGCCACTCGAACGCATATTGGTACTAGCTTGTTCCCTGACAAATTGGAGGGGGAAAACACATGCTTTTGTTAGGTAGGTCAGACCAGTTAGTAATTATTGATCATATTGATCACTTCCTATACTGTTAGGAGGTCATTCTAATCCTGTGGTTCCCCACCTTCTTGGGGGTTGAAGCCTTATCTTTGACATAATTTTACAGTGCCCCTATCTCGGTCCTCAATATTTCAGTATGTTGTATAGCATGTATTTATTTTGTAAGTTAAATAAAATGTAAGCTATGGTGGAGTTTTTTTTTTAAAGGATTTCATGAGATTTCTTGGAGTACTACAAAGGTAAGGTCAGAAATTAGGTTTTATAGCTTGTTCGCACCTGAAGCCAAATAACCATATGTGTGTGTGTGTGTGTGTGTGTGTGTGTGTGTGTGTGTGTGTGTGTGTGTGTGTATACATATACATATATATATATATATATATATATATATATATATATGTATGTATATATAAATTGTCTCAGGAAAACAACATACTAGAATATAATACATATTAAAATCATTACCTACCCTAAGCCCCACTAACCTTGAGGATTTATGTAAAATTAAGCCATTGTCCAAGCATTTGGCCACAGAATCGCAGAATATAAGGACTTTAGAAGTCACCTAGTTGGATTTTCCTTCCTTTTATAGAGGAGGTAACTTGACAAGAACTTGCCCTAGGTCATCCATCTAAGAAGTAGCTTGGCAAGATGTAGCCCCTGTCTTCTGGCTTCAGTTTCAGGCCTTGTTCCATGAGGCCGCTCTGCTCAGGGAAGACCAAACACTAGAGGTACTTAGTGAACAGACTCAATAAACACAGGTAGAGAGCCAGAAGAAGAATGTTAAGGTTACAGTGAGGCACAGCCACAGCAGTGTGGCACTTCCATAACTGTTGGGGATCACAAGCAAGGGATGAGTCTGACATGCCGCAGGTAGGAGTGGAGGCGCTTTTATTCCATTTTAAAGTCTGGGCCTGTTTATCAGGCTCTTTAGGTATCTGATTTACTAATCACAAGCCCATGGAGATGCTCCTCAAGAACCAGTTGTTTTGGATAAATTGTTAACCCTAGCCTTTGCTAAAAGGTGACAATGATCAATAACAATTCTCCTTACTTCAATCTTAAGTAAAGGGGGAAATCATCCTACTTCTAGATTCTTTTTAAAAGTAGAGAGATAAGGGGCAGCTAGGTGGCACAGAGGATAGAGCTCTGGCCTTGGAGTCAGGAGGAACTGAGTTCAAATGCAGCCTCAGACACATAACACTTACTAGCTTGTGTGTCAAGTCACTTAACCCCATTGCCGAACCAAAAAAAAAAAGTAGAGAGATGAGTATACAAAAAAAGGTGTTAGAAGAAAAGGAAGGGAGTGGAAGTGTCCTTCTGCAGATCTAGCCCTTAGGTAGAGAGAATTAAAGAATTGGAGAGCTGGAAAATAATTCAGTGGTCAGGTAGTCCAGCTGTTAATACCCATATAATCCTGCCTCCCTACCTACATCCTAACCAGAAAGTGACTACCCAGCTGGCCCTGAACACTTCCGGGTCAGGGGTGACACTAGCCCCAGTTGGTAAGAAGTTTTCCCAGAGCTTGAACCAATATTGGTTTCCCTGTAATGTTATCGTTTGATCCTAGTTCTGTTCTTTTAGGCTAAGCAGAGCAAGTCTAATTTGGGGTATTCAGGAGTGCCTTTTGACTGCTCTTGGAACTGTGTAATATAGTATGCAATTCTGGAATTTTAAAAATGGGATCTCTAGGCCAGGCGATGTCATTGCAAACGGTGGAAAAAGAGCAGTGCCTAGCAGTCTGCAGGAGACCTCAGGGTGTCAGCAGCAGCAGCCATCGGCTAGGACATGCCATCTTGGCCACCAGCTTGTTGCTGCAGTCATCAGAAATATATTCTCTGCCATATTGAAGCAGGGAAAAGAGGCTTCTTTTTCCATTGAATGTTGTTAGTATCTCTTACAATGCTAATGATAGATACACTGTCCCTGGAAAAGACAAAAAGAATTTTTTGATAATTGACCAGCATGTCTGCTGAACTTACCAGATTTCTGTAGCCCTTTCCTTTCAACAGCCCTGTGAGGGAGGCAGCAGAAGTATTATTAGCGGGGGCAGTTAGGTGGCGCAGTGGATAGAGCACCGGCCTTGGAGTCAGGAGGACCTGAGTTCAAATGCGTTCTCAGACACATAGCACTCACTAGCTATGTGACCCTGGGCAAGTCACTTAAACCCATTGCCTCATTAAAAAAAAAAAAACCGGATGTGTTACTGGCCCAATTTTAGGGAGGAGGAAACTCAAGTTCACGATGAGGTGATTTGCCCAGGCTGTTTCCAGGCTGGCCATCAGACTCTCAGTTTTGTGACTCCACATCCATTTAATCCAATGGAACAATTAACTGGTCTTATGTCAGCTTTGGCCCTTCTGATTTCATACCCCACCCTGCACATAGGAATTAGTCAGTGATTTCCTGGGTTATGAATCTTCCAGATTAATGATTGCATCTTTTAAAATAACTGGCCATCGGGAGGGACCCAGGGGGACGGGGGTAAGGGCAAAGGAACGCTTAGGAACTGGACTCCTGTGTTTTTTCTGAGTTAACAAGAAGTGTATCTAAATGTATTATAAAACCTTTGTAGAAAGTCACACTAGACCTATAGGTGTATGTTAGCCAGCTTTATGCCAGTTTTTTCTATATATTTATAATCAGCATTTCCAATTCTGAGTCCTTTTTAAAAACTATTCTGCTACTTTTCTGATCTTTTGTTAATAATAAACTTTTTCAGCTCATTTATTTGAAAATTACTGGAATATTATTTCCAACTTCTGACTTCTGGCATCCAGTAGTAACACCTGCACTGGTGTGTATGAGTCAGATCCTCACTAAGGTATGTCACGAAATGTTTCACTTTTATCTAAGACTTTTGCCGTATATCTTTTTTTAAAAAAGGCAGCCCAAGCTGATCAAAGCATCATAGTTCATATTCTGATAAACAAGGTTTTACTGCCCAGTCCTCATCACGATTAACTGTTAAGAATCCTTCCTACCTGCTATGAGCAGTCACCTGTAACAGGAGTTAGCCTGTGAAAGCCTGAAGAGACCACAGCCATTATATTAGGTCACGTAACTGACGTCAGGATAATAAATGCTTTCAGGCTGAGTCCTTGAAACTCTGTATTCCAAACAGTGCTGTGACGCAAATTAGAAAAGATAAATTTAGCAGCTAGAGATTAAAGGCCAGGACAAAGGGTAATCTTCAAAAAAAAGTCATTTCAAGTTGATAATAACTGGGTTATCTTGTTTTGTTTTGCTTCCCTCTGTTGGCTTTGGTAGTTAAAACAAGGCTTATGTTTTTCATTGCAAACTTAAGTACCCTGGTGGCACATGTTAATATGTACTGAGGATCTGCAGTTGTAAGCTTTCTCTGTAATTTTACAAAGGTGGTTCATAAATGACCTGTACGCTGACTGTATAAGTTAATCAAACTGCTGACAGTTTGTAGATCTAAAATAGTGGCTCAGACCTTCTTAATATACTCTTTTATTAGTGCCCTGTCACGTCGCTCCAGGATGTTGTTAAAGGACTGTTTGTGTGCTGCTTATTCCTGGAATATGTATCTTTGTCCCAGAGGTTTGTACCTGAACTTATTAACTTCCTTGCTGGGGTGCTTCACATAGCAACTCCCAACAAAGGTACTCCAGGTAAGTTTCTTTGAGGCAATAAGTAAAATTCTGAGTCCTCATTAGGTTAAAAACTAAAGTTATTATTTTGAAATTTCTAGGTTGGCATTTCAGTTTTATTTTCTAAATTATACTTTGAATTTATATAATTTCTACAGCCATCACAACAGGTGATTTGTTCTTTAAAACTTGGACTCAGAAGGCCACACCTAAGGACCTAAAAGGCCACATGTGGCCTTGAGGCCATCGGTTCCCCAACCCTGATTTATATGGGTCATTTTCCTCTCTCTTTGATATCTTTGGGGTATAGACATAGTCATGGTACAGCTGAGTCAAAGAGTATGAACAGTTTTGTAACTTTGGGCCATAATTTCTAATTGCTCTCCAAGAATGACCGCACCAATTAACAGCTCTAATAACAGTGCATTAAGGTGCCTGTTTTCCCACCGCCTGACCAATATTAGTCATTTTCCTCTTTGTTCATCTTTTCCATCTTTGATGGGTGGGAGGTAGAGCCTCAGAGTTGCTTGATTTGCCACCTAGCTGTCTCAGAAGACATGAGCAGGCAATTATCAAATGAAGAAATCCAAGCTAGCACCAACCATATGAAAAAAGACATTCCAAATCTCTGATAATTGGAGAAATGCAAATTAAAGCATCTCTCATGAGTCATGAAGTCAGGAAGACCCATGTTCAAATCTGGTTTCAGATACTTACTAGCTTTGTGACCCTGGGCAAGTCACTTAACCTCTGTTTGCCTCCGTTTCTTCAACTGTAAAATGGTGGTAGTAATAGTACATACCTTGCAGGGGTTTTGTGAGGATTGAATGAGATAGTATTTGGAAAGTGCTTAGCACATTGCCTGTCACATAGTGGGGACAATGTTATTTCCTTCTTTCTGCAATTTCTTTGATAGGGGAGCGACTCTTAGTCTTCTGCATTTGAACTGGCTCTGTAGTATATAATATCTTGAAAATGAAACTTTTCAGAGAAACTCGCTGCAAAGATCTTTCCCAGTTAAGTTTCCCTTCTGATTTTAACTTGTTAGATTTGTTTGTGTAAAAACTTTTCAATTGTACATAATCAGAATTGTCTGTTTTACCTTCTGTGATCTTCTTTGACATCTTTGGTCATGAACTCTTCCCCTCGCATAGCTCTGAAAGGAAATTTCTTCCTTGCTTCTCTCATTTGCTTATGACATCACTTTTTATGTCCATATCACATATTCATTTGGCATCCAGTGTAAGGTGTTGGTCTATACCTAAATTCTGCCAAACTTCTTTGCAGTTTTTGGCAAATAGTGAGTTCTTACCCTCTAGCTGAGGTTTTTGTGTTTATTGAACTCTTACCGTGTTCTTTGCTTCTGTATATTGTGTACCTAATCTGTTCCACTAATTGAACTGTTTTTAAAACAGCACCAGTTTATCTTAATGATTACAACTTTGTTGTATAGTTGGAGATTTGGTACTGCTAGGCCACCTGCTATTCTACTTTTTTTTCATTATTACACTTGAGATTCTTATCCTTTTGGTCCTTAACATGAATTTCTTTATTATTTTTCTAGCTTTATAAAAAAAATCCTTTGGTAGCTGGGTGTGGCACTGAATAAATAAATTAATTTAGATACTATTGTAATTTTCATTATATTGACTTAACCAACCCATGATGGTTCTCCTTTTATTTAGCTCTGTCTTTATTTCTGCAAATAGTGTTTTATAATTTGATTCATATAGTTCTTGGATATATCTTGGTAGATATACTCCCAAGTATTTTATAGCTTCATCCTTATTTGGAAGGGAGTTTTTCTTTCTAGCTCTTCCCGCTGGAATTTGTAAGTAATATCCATGAATGCTGATCATTTACGCAGATGTATTTTATTTTATATCCTGAAACTGATGAAGTTATTAATTTTTTTAGTTGACTCTTTAGGATCTTCTAAGCAAATCATCTCATCATCTGCAAAAAGGAATATTTTTGTTTCCTTTTTTCCTATGCTTAGTTCCATCAATTTCTTTTTCTTCTATAGCTAGAATATATTTGATGAGATTTTCATTTGTTTACATAATTTGTATTTTGACCTACCATAATTTTACTTAATAGTGATTTCATCCACTTTCCCCTCCTTTCTTGACTAAGACAATGCCTCTCCCTTTCATTTTGCCTTCTGCTAAGATCATCTAAATAGAATAAAACCATCCACAGGATCTCTCATTTTTACTTTTTCTCTAGAACCCTTAAAAATATTTCAGTTTTGAGAAGACATTTGTTTTTTACTGTTCTATTAGTATGTAAACAATTCATCCCCACGTATTCTTTTTGAATTGAATAAATGTGTGTATATCTTTCTGTGTGTCTCTCGACTCTCAGTTCTGTCTTTTTCATGAGGAATGTTCGGAAATCCTCTATGTAATTAAAAGTCCATTTTTTTTCCCCTGTAAGATTCTATTTGGTTTTACCAGATGCATGATGCTTGGCTCTAAGCCTTTATCTTTTGCAATATCAGCTTCCAAATTCTCCTTCCTTTATAATAGCCATTGTCAAAACTGATATGATCCTAACCATGGTTCCTTGGTACTTGAACTCTTTAGTTTTGGCTCCTTGTAGTATTTTTTTTTAAATTTTCTATTTTCACTTTGCCTTCCAGTTCTAAGAGTTCTGGGCAGTTTTTATTTGTAATTTCTTAAAATATGATATCCTGGCATTTTTTGGTCATGATTGTCAGATTATCCAAATTCTTAGATTTTTCTCTCCTTGACTTGTTTTCTAGGTTAGTTTTTTTTTAATAATTCTTGCATTTCTGTATATACTTTTTCTTTTAACATTCAGTTCTTTTTTTATAGTTAAATATTCAGTTCGTTGTTTAATCAGTTCAGAGAATTCAGTTCTTGGTTAAGGTTTCTAACCGTCTGTTCTGAGATAGCAATTTTCTTTGACATTAGCTAATGTCATCCTTAGCTGTTCCATTTTCAGTCTCTTGTTTCACCTCTTACAGGTACTCTTGTAAGCATTGCATCCAGTACACTTCTTATTTTTCTCTTCCAGGCTTTACTTGGGTTTGTGGAGTTGCTCTCTTCCTCGGCCCCTATGCACCTCTCAGTCCAAAGAATTTACTCATAGTATTTAGTGTTTTCCTTGGCTTGCTTATCTCAGCCACCTCAGTGTCTAGATTGAGGGTGGAACAGGGGAGAAGGAACCTGTTCTCAGGTCTTAAGTTAGGAATTGTTTGGCTTCATTTCCTTCTGTGATTTGGTGCGAGGTTGCCTGAATGCTGAGTTGGTTTGGGGTTGCCTGCTTTTCTCCAGGGCCTTTTTCTGCAATTGTTGTGGTAACTCCCAGGATACCCCCCCCCCACTGGCCTCTGTTCAGGGCCCTTCTGTTATTACCATGGGGCTTGCACTCAGGACTGTACCCCTTCCTGAATTCCACAAGGCCCTTCTCTCCCTTTCTCTTCCTTCAGGGTTCAGCTCTTACCATGGGTTCTGGGACTACCCCCAGGCTGATCTCTGCCTCTCATTGCCCTTCTCATGTCTCCAAGCTTGGGACTACCCTTTTCTGGGCTCCAAGAAAATACCATCCTCCAAATGCTTTGGGATTGCTTTGTACTATACTTGCCACCTACCCTGGCTTGCCCATTTCTGGATTTTTGCAGGATTCCAGCTGTCTTCTGTATACCTCAGCTAGGTTGGGGGAGTCTTCATGTCATTCTCATTCCTTTTTTAATTGGCGCACTTTAAAGCTTTATTGAGTTGTTTGGGCTCCTCTAGTTCTACCATTTCCCCTACTAATCTGTTTTTAGTACACTCTTCACAAAAACTCAGTGAACTAGAGAGTATTATTATGTGTCTTACAGATGAGGCTACAATACTGAAGTTCAGAGCTGAAGTAGCATAGCTAGGAAGCATCTGCCTGCTTTTGAACCCATTGTCTTCTGACTTAATCAAATTGTTTCTCAGAAGAGCAGTTGTACTGAATGCTCTCAAAGATCCCTTGTAGCTCTGAATACTGTGAATCATGTGGCCAAGTCCAGGTCATTCCCATTATCTCACGCTGCTTCCCTTTGTTTTATCTAGTGCGAAGAAAGAAGGCGGGATGCTAGGAGAGTCAGATACTCTATTCTAGTAACAGCTCTTAATCCCCCCATTCTTTCAGTCTCCATCTATCCCAACAGCCCCTCTCTTGTGCGTGCCCATGTGCCCTCAGCTCGTAGACCTTTTGTTTCTGAAAAACAATGCAGGGTTGGAGCCTCCGGTGCATCTGGTGTTCTTATTTCACAAGGTCTTCAGCTTTCCAGATCCATGATCCATCATGACCCCTAGTTGTGTTCCTTTGAAATTATCATGTGTCCTATACTTAGAACTTAGAGTTCAGACTCTTTGGTTTGACCTTTTATATCCAATGATGTTCACACGGTTCTTCTTTGTGTCACTGTTTCACCTTGATATTTAGGTTATACCCTGGTGCATCCTTTCAAACCTCTAGGAAGGAATTCAGAATTGCTCCTTGTTTCTGATAAGGAAGATATGGACACTTGGCCCAAGAAAGGCCTCCCCCTGAGTAAAGTGAATGGCCTAAAGGACTGCAGTGAAACAGAAACAAATCACATCAGGTATGTGGAACAGTCTGAAAACACTTTGTGGAATTGTGGGGAGGAACTAGCTGCAAAGCCAGGGCTACAGTTGTGAGCTGGAGTCAGTATCTCTGTTTTGTTCAGAATTTTTCTAGATAGTGATAACACTTCCTATTTTGAAAGCACTTTGTATTCACAGAGTGCTTTCTTTACAACAGTGCTCTGGGAGAGGTAGTTCAATTCAAGTCATTAAACTTTAATTAAGCACCTACCCGGTGCCTGGCACTGTGCTAAGGCTGGGGATACAAATAAGACACACACCCCCCTCCAAAAAAAAAAAAAGGGCAGTCCCTGCCCTCAAGTAGTTTGAAGTCTAATGGGGAGGACAGCACACAAAAGGAAGCTGAGAAGCTTGGAGTGAAAACCAAGCAAAGCTTCTGATGGAAAGGAAGGTAACTCAAGTATTACTCTTCCCATTTTACCGATTAGGAAACTGAGGCCCAGAAAAGTTAAGTGACTTGCCCCTGGTCATATAGCTAATGAGTGGTGGTGCCCATCCCCCGGGCTCTCCAACTACAGGTCCAGGTCTTTGGCCTCCTTCCTCAGGTTCCTGTGGTGCTTGGGGTGTCTGGCTCCTTCTTCACCTCTTGTAGTGCGGACATTTACTTGGCTCTCACTCCTAGCTTGATTTGGGACCCCAGGCTTAGCCTCAGAGACAACCAGCTGTGAGCAAATATTGGCTTGACTGAAAATGGGCATGTGCCCACAGAACCTTAGAGCAGTGTGTCTTCCAGCCCGCTGCCCTCCAGGGTGTCACTGAGTGTGGGAAAAGCCAGCAGATATGTCAGCAGAGGCTGTTGGCAAGGCTGCTCTGATGAACCTGGTGGATTTTAAGTAGCTTGCCATAATGGCCTTGCTGCTAACACACACACACACACACACACACACACACACACACACACACACACACACACACACACACACACGCTTACTCTCTCTCTCTCTCTCTCCCTGATATTTTAAACCCTTCCTAAATTTCTCAGGAATAGTATCACTTATTTCTCCAAAAAAAAAAGAGACTTCCTCCCTAAGATACTTGGTTTAGACCTGAAGCATATCCATTTGACTATGGAGTGAAACTAGTTACATTTTTCAGGTTGTGTTTTCCCACATCTTTTCCTTCTTATTCAGGAGTATATGTATAATTTTCCAGATACTGTCTATTCTTAACTTCTAGGCATGTCTGCCTAGTAGTGCATGTCTCAGTATTAATTCCATCTGTTTGATAGGGCGGGCTACTGCTGATTCCATGTAAAAGGCATAGAAATTTTAATAGTGACTCACTAAAATTAGCTGGGCTTTCTTTAGTTATATTGACTGTTCTCGAGATTGTCACTAAAGCTCATTTCTCACTAGGGCCACCAATTTTTCTTAAGATAGTTAAGCTAAGTTTGTCAAAATTGTTAAACCTGAATGTATGATTCTCTTGCAGATTATCATGTGTATCTGTATGTTTAAATCTCATTAAACGGTGTTTAGCTATGTATGGCACACTACCATCTCTTCCTGAAATAATGAAGCCTGTCAAAGTACTCCTTAAAGAGCACATTCCAGAGTGTGGACATCCCAGAGAGCTGCAAGTGAGTACAATCCTAGGTCATAGAATTGAAAGGGTCCTCAGACGTTCTCTAGTCCAACTCTTTCTTTTTACAGAGGGGGAAACTGAGGTTTAACCTCAGTTCACTTCATAGAGGTTAAATGACTTGCCCAAAAGTCACACAGTAAGTATTGGAGGTAGGATTTGAAGCTGGGTCATCTGTCTCTAGAGCTGATGCTCTTTCCCCTGTACCACTCACTTGTGTTCCCTAGGGGCTTAGCGCAGGGGTAGGGAACCTGCTGCCTCAAAGCCACACGTGGCCTTCTAGGTCCTCGGTGTGGCCTTTTGACTGAGTCCAGGTTTTACAGAACAAATCCTTTTATTAAGGGGATTTGTTCTGTGAAGTTTGGACTCAGTCAAAAGGCCACCCTTGAGGACCTAGAAGGCCGCATGTGGCCTCGAGGCCACAGATTCTCCACCCCTGGCTTAGAGGGTTACACTGGGATTCATCTGGGAAATGGGAACAAGTGGATTTTTCAGCCACAGAATCACAGAATGTGAGTGTTGCAAGGGCCCTCAGTAACCATCCAGGATGACCCATAGGTTATAACATCTGAAAGCCAGTGTTTTTCTTTGATTGAATTTAAACTTACAAATGTCAAGGAAGCTTTCTTCTAGAAGATGTAAAAATGCATGACAGAATAGTAGTGAGCTTCAGTTTATCTTCCTGGAAGTTCTTTATATCATTGTTTAATTATAGATTTTGCTCAGATGAATTTTTTAAAAATTTGTTTATTTAGTTTTCAACATTCATTTGCACAAGACTTTGAGTTTCAAATTTTCCACCCACCTTTCCCCACCCCCCCATCCCAAGATGGCGTGTATTCTGATTACCCCTTCCCCCAATCTGCCCTTCCTCCTATCATCCCCACTCCCTACCCCCCTAGCCTTGTCTTATCCCCTTCCCCTTCTATTTTCTTGTAGGGTAAGATAGATTTCTGTATCCCTTTGCCTGTGTATTTTATTTCCCAGTTGCATGTAAAAACAATTTCCAACATTCATTTCTAAAACTTTAAGTTCCAAATACTCTCCTCTCCTCCCTCCCCACCCACCTTCATTGAGAAGGCAAGCAACTCAATATAGGTTATGCATGTGTAGTCATGCAAAACACTGTCATAATAGTCATATTGTGAAAGACTAACTATATTTCCCTCCATCCTATCCCTTCCACATTTATTCTATTCTCTCCTTTGACCCTGTCCCTTCTCAAAAGTGTTTGCTTTGGATTACCCCTTCCTCCAATCTGCCTTCCTTTCTATCACCCCTCCCTCTCTTATCCCCTTCCTCCCTACTTTCCTGTAGGTTAAGATAGATTTCCATACACAATTGAGTGTGTATGTTATTCCCTCCTTAAGCCAAATCCGATGAGAGTACAGTTCACTCGTTCCTTCTCACCTCCCCCCTCTTCCCCTCCACTGTAAAAGTTTTTCTTTCCTCTTTTATGTGAGATAATTTACCCCATTCTACCTCTCCCTTTCTCCTTCCCCCCAGGACATTCCTCTCTCACCCCTTAATTTTCTTTTTTAGATATCATCACTTCATGTTTAACTCACCCTGTATCCTCTGTCTATATATATATTCCCTCCAGCTACCCTAATAATGAGAAAGGTCTCATGAGTTACAAATATCATCTTTCTATGTAGGAATGTAAGCAGTTTAACTTTAATAAGTCCCTTATGATTTCTCTTTCCTGTTTACCTTTTCATGTTTCTTTTGAGTCTTGTATTTGAAAGTCAGTTTTTCTATTTAGCTCTGGCTTCTCCAGAATGCATTAAATTTCTCTATGTCATTGAATGTCAGTTTTGCCCCCTCATTGATTACACTTTTCCACCCCTAGCCACAAATGATCTTCTTTCCACCATCCTTTGTACTGCCTCAAAGGCCATGGCCAGTGGGTTCCTCTTTTACTTAGTCCTGTCAAGGGAGTGCATACCAAAGCCTTCAAGTAGCCCAAATTTCTCCTCAGAATTTCCTATGAAAATCTACCTTGAGAAACTCTTTTGAATTCTGTGACCCCAAGAAAACTTTACCTTTATAGACCTTAAAGCATACAGGAATGAGAATTATGATTATGAGGAAGCCCATGCACCAGGCTGGAACAGAGGGATTAAGTTTTTCAGTCACAGAGAACTCCCAAAAGCGATCGACTGAGTCAGGGAAACTTCGCAATTGGTGTCAGTGGGAGGAATACCTCCAACAGAAGGATTGCTGTGGCTGAAGCAGTAAGGTCCTGCCTTAATGGGAGGTAACAGAGTCACCCAAAGCAGAAAAAGAAATCAACAGAAATTAGTTGACCTTGTGAAACAAGCTTCTTTGTTTTTTTAGGAGCTGTGCCAAAGCATATTACAAGAAATGGAAAACCAAGGCAAAAATTATCAGCCTTTAGTATGTGAAAAGAGCAAGCCAGTGCCACTGAAGTTATTCACACCCAAACTGGTGAAAGTGTAAGTGTGGAAACATCTCCTGTATGTTAGTCTGAGCCTCTGGACCACAAAAGAGGGTTTTCTTCATTGATTCATCTGCTGATTCAGTAAACATTGATTGATTAAGTGAGTGCTAAATGCTGTTGGAGGGTGGCAACAGTAGAAATATTTAGTAAAACAGCTTCTTTGTCCTGAAGCCTAGGATGCATACTTGCTGTAAAAGAAGCTCATCCCATCAAACACTTTTCTGTTCTGAGAATTCTTTGACACTCAGATACTGACCTGGGGTCTTGAAGGGGATGTGTTGTGTTCTGAGCTTAACTCTGGGGAAGAATCAGCTGCTGCTGCTTCTGACCCAGGACAAAGGTCTAGAGCTAGACTCCAGGAAGCTTGTCCTTCACTTACCTAATACCAGATTTTCCAATTCTAGCCTCGAGTTTGGAAGAAAACAAGGGAGCAGTAAAGAGGAGCAGGAAAGGAAAAGATTAATTCACAAGCATAAACGTGAATTTAAAGGAGCTGTCCGTGAAATTCGCAAAGATAATCAGTTCCTGGCTAGGATGCAGCTCACAGAAATCATGGAAAGGTAATCTATGTTTGTTTTGGTATCACTGTTACTTGTTCTGTGCACTGCTTGGCATTCTCCCACGATCTTGAGCCAGATGGAACAATTGAACAGCTGAGCCCTGAGATCATATTGTTTGCTTGCCCTCCTGGGAGGTGGAGGCATGCAAACGTGGTCCGCCCGTAACATCTGAACTCGGAGCTCCGGGTTGGGCAGCCATGAGAGATGAAGGTAAAGCTGCTTGGGCCTGTGACTTTTTTTCTTGCCTCTTTCACTCATCCAACACATTTCCAAACTGGCTAGTAAGAAGACTTGAAGCCATGTGGCTCTGAGACCAAGTTAAATGAATGGAGAGGGGTATTTAACCTGGAAAGGAGACGGTATCGCTCTCTTCAAATGTTCGAAGGATTGTCACAGAAGAATGATTAGATTTATTCTTTTTTACTTCAGGGGGCCAGAAATAGCAGTTGAGTTAAGCAGACATTTTTTTAAGGACCTACTTTGCAAAAGGTGCTATGCTGAGCACTGAAGATACAAAGAAAGACCTAAAACAGTCTGTGTCTGAAGAACTTAAATCTCACCCCCGAGGATCAGAGGAGGCTTTGCATCGGGCCTTCAAAGGAACTCAGGAGTCTAAGAGTTGGAGGTCCCAGGCATGGGGGAGTGGAGGCAGCTGATGGTATCTCTTACTGAGTTTGGGGAACACCCAGTAGCTCAGTTTACCTGAAAGTTGAATTTACAAGAAAAGTAATATGAAATAAGCCTAGAAATACAGGCTGGTGGTTCCCTAGTTGTGAAGGAGTTTATATTCACACAAAAAGAGGTCATATTTTATCCTAGAGGCCATAGGGAGCTGCTGAAGGTTTTTGTGTTGGGGGGGTGACATGCCTGCACTTTAGGAAAATTAATTTGGCAGCTATGTGAAGGATGGGTTAAAGAGGTGAAAGACTAGAAGCTGGCACCCCAAGTCAGAGACTTTTCAGTCAGGCAAAGAAGAGGTGAGGAGGCCCAAACCTCCATGGGTAGAGAGAAGAGATGCTGTAGAGAGTGGATCTACAAGACTCAGCCTCTGCTTTTCTGTGGGGGTGAGAGGAGCAGCAGAGATGACACAGACTGAGCCTGTTTAACCAGAGGGATGGGGTGAAGTTTTGGGGGAAAAGCAAGTTATTTTGGACATGTTAAAATATGAGATGACAAAGGGACATCCAGGTAGAGGTATTGCAAGCCACCGATTGGCATTGGGAGCTGGAGTTAAAGAGAAGGATTATAGGCGGTGGATGTGTAGATTTGAGAGTCATCTCCATAAAGATAATCAATGAACTCTTGAGATATCAAGAGAGGGAAAATGATAGAGAGAAGGCAAGGCAAGAACAAAGCCAGAAGGGAGGGGAGGGGAGGAGGTGGACAGTTATCTAGCAAAGACACTTAGTAATTACTGTCAAACTGGTAGTGGGAGAGTATTCAAGATGGCATCCTGGTCAACTTTGTCTAAAGCCAAAGAGAAGTCAGGAAGATGAGTAATGAGAAGGCCATTAATTAAAACAACTAATAAATTTTTGATAACCTTGGAGAGAATAGTTCAGTCATGTAATGAGATTGGAAGCTAAATTTAGAGATGAGTAAGTGATGAGGGATTGGAGACAGCACATATTGCTAATCCCTTCTGGGAGTTTGACTTTGGAAGGGAGAAGAGATATATAAGACATTAGGATATGGAGTTGACAGTCTGCGAAAGTTTAGGGGGGTTTGTTTTATTTTAAAGGATGGGGGTGTTTGTGGGCAGACAGGAGAGCCTGTGGATAGGAAAGACTGAAGAAGAGCCAGAGGAGAGATGATTGAGGGTAATCTCCTGGGCTTAAGGGCATCAATACAGAGGAAGGTGATGGCACAAATGGCCACCTCCCCCCTCAGACCAGAAGAAAGACTAAAGGAACAGTGTCAGAGAGCTTTGAGGTGTGGGGCAGAAAAAAGGGAGCTCACGGCAGGCAGCCTCTGTAAAAGAAGGTAGTCCTGCTGAAGGGGAGCGATGTGGGACAGAGATGCTCACAACGCTTTCACGTGCAGCCTGAACCAGATGGAGATGGAGTTATTGGGGAATATTTAACAAAATAAAAATACAAGAAAAAGTAGATAATGTTACATGTTTAAACTTCAGTCACTGTGCTGCCTGCAGGGATCCTTACCCTGTTTCTATTTGAGTTTTACACCCCTAGTGTCAAAGACTTGGGAAATCTGGGGTAGCTATTACAGAAAATGTAATGGAAGGGTCTGTCAGGGTTTTAAAAAAAAAAAACCATGCCATGCAGTAGTGAGAGCCCAGGGGAGCTTAGAGAAGGTCAATAGGTAGCAGTTTCTGGGCAAGTAAGAAACAATGGTTAGAAGGTGTCAGGGGACAGATTTTAGGAATTTCCTAATCTTTGAAGCCGTCTGCCAGTGAAATTGGTTGGTGATGTTGTAGAAGGACATTCATGCTTCAGCTAAGACTTCTGAGGTCCCTTCCTACTTCAGAGGATTCTAAAGTCCTATACTATTGATAATTTTGTTGTGTAAACATTTATTGACTACCTCCTGTATGCAAGCTTAGATTAAACTGTTACTGAGGTAGAACTACATAAATAAAATCAAAATCACTTGATGTATTCTGTCTTACAGGTTCTGTCTCTTGGTCTTATTTGTACATTAATCCTGTTTTATATTTTTATTTTGTAGGGATTCTGAACGAAAACGAAAAGTAAAACAACTTTTCAGTAGCCTGGCTACCCAGGAAGGTGAATGGAAAGCCCTGAAGAGGAAAAAGTTCAAAAAATAAGTTGTTTGAGTAGAAAATAATTTATTTTATGTTTGTATGTAAGCCAAGACTATTTTGAATTCACAGTGAATTTTTTTATCAAAGTTCCATGGACAGAACTATGCATCTCCACCCATTGTGCAAATATAAGCTCTAATATACACGCTGGGGCATTGCTGTAGTCAAGTCAGCTCCTTAACTGTTAAAATATAAATGATTTTTGGTGTATTTTTGTAGTTTAATAAAACCTCTAATTAGAAGGAAACAGGTTAATTTCTAACTTTGAATCAGTGGAGAGGCTCAGTGAAGGTTAACCAGCCGGCACATTTCACTTCAGCCTCCGTCTCAAGTGCACTCAGACCCTTGAGTCCTTAGAATGTCCAGAATGAGGAGTGCAGACCTTCCTGACCCATTCATGACCTTGCAGGGCCTCCGAGTTATAATGTAAAACAGCAGTTCACAGCATAGAGCACTTTCAGTTTGAAAGGCGTAGGAATTTGGATTGAGGTGGGCTGAACCTAGGACCACATAAAAGTTGTTTTTGAAAGTAAACTGCTGATATTGGCCTTTTGTTGTTGTTATTTGTTTCTTCCATATTGTAGTAGAATATTGATTCAGTGATTGTGGATTGTTACTTGGATTCTCTGTATATTACACATAACTGTAGAAGAAAAGGACAAGAATTCAGAGCTTACACTCAGGCTTCAAGTGTTTGGATTTAAAGAACAGGCAAAACTTGCTTACAGAGAATCAGCCTAGTTATAAGCCAACAAGCATGTATTGAGGGCTTACTTACTATGTGCCAGGCAGAAGGACATGTGCCAGCCATGACACAGCTACATAGGTCCCCTGTGGCCTTATTCACACAATGTGCCATCTCTTATAATTGTCAGCTTTTCTGGAACTGTAGGCTGGCCCAAGTAGACCTCAAACATGGGGGTTTACAAAACTTTACAGCCCTTTACAAATGCTTCTAAATAAACCTATTGAATATACAAATCAAGAATTAAGCCAGGTGAAGATACACACACTTTGGTAGATACAATTCCTTTGAGGCATAAGTGTTTCATTTATGGGTTCATCAGCCAGTCTTCCTGTTTCTCTCTACATTTACCCTTCTCTGTGGGAGAAAGGGCACAGTCTAACCAAGCTGCCTCAAAAAGATCTCTTTGGGCTCTTCAGTGCTTATAAAGAAGGAATGGCTAAGCAGTTCTTGGTGTTGACACAGGTCCAGAGAAGTTACGCTTTTAAAAAAATTGTTATTAAAATGTAAATACATAATAAGAAAAAAAGAAACATCAAAAACATATATTAAAACTTAAATATAAAATAGGAAAAGAAAAAAACATGTCGTGTGTACAGCAGAACGTAAGAGGATTCAAAGTATTACATAGCAATAAATTTCCATTTCAAGAAAGCCTGTATGTTGAATACTATGTGTTGTGTTGAGAGCCGTCCGTCTTTTTGCTTCTTTGTAGATTTTCTTTTGTTCTCTGCTGTACACTTTTTACTTTGTTCTTTTTTCCCCTTTTCCACCCCCTCTCCTCCCAAGCTACAATTATGTGTGGTTGTATTTATTTATAGATATATACATATATAAACATATGCTTTCCCTAACAGATTGAACTCCTAATCATTGTTTTTGCGTTTGTGCGTATGTCTTATTTCCTATCCCTCCTGACTCCTGTTACTTCTGCTCCCTATCTTGCCCTCCTGTTACTTAACCTACCCCCCCAACAATCCCTTCCTTATCCTCCCATTCTCATTAATCTAAACACCCTTCTGTATCCCCCTTTGACCTGTTCCCTTACTCTCCCCTCTAAAGATCCCTCCCTTATCCTCTCCCCTCTCCCTATCGCCTCACTAGTTTATTTAGAAGACTTTTATGCTCTTCTGGATGTGTATGTATTGTTCCCCTCTTAAACCTATTCCCAATGAAAGTAGGTCTCCAGAACTAACAGCCCTCCTTCCCCACCTAATTCCTCTGCCTCTGTTTTTCCTCCTGCCCCTCATTTGTACAAGATAATTACTCATTTTAGCTGTTCTTGAACAGTTTTGCTTTTTGAATTTGTATCATGCTCAGGTCTACCCCACTCTTTCTTATGAACTACCCAGTTACTAATAACAATCATAGACAGGACATTTTACATTTTTCATACATAGAAAGTAAGCCATCTGTCCTTATTGAGTCCCTTGTAATTGGTCTTGGGTATGTGCCTTATGTTTCTCTTGGCTCTTGTATGTCAAATCTTCTATGAGGTTCAGGTTTGTTTTGGTTTGGTTTTTTAACAGTCTTGAAAGTCTGACAGTTCATTAAATGTCCTTTTTTTTTTCCTTCACTCACTTTTCCTTACATACACTTAACTTTGCTGGGTGTGGTGTTTTCATCCAGAAGCCCAGTATTCTGCTCTTTCCAAGAACTGCAGTCTTGTAGTGTTGCCACTGCTAGGTCTTGTGTGATTCTACTTGTGAATTAGAATGTATTGTTTTTTTCTTGTTGCTCATAATATTTTATCCTTGAGCTGGGGGTTTCAGAATTTAACTATAATATTCCTGTGGGTTTTCCTCATAGGATCTCTTTGAGGTGATCAGTGAATTTTTTTTCTATTTCTACTTTCCCCTCTTGTTTTAATGCTTCAGGACAATTTTCTTTAATTATTTCTTGTATTAATGTATCAAGATTCTTTTTTTGATCATAGCTTTCAGGTAGTCCAATTCTTATGTTTCTCTTCTTGATCTGTTCTCTAGTTCAGTTTTTCTTATGAGGTGTTTCCCATTCTCTTCTATATTTTCATTCTTTATATTTTGTTTAATTATTTCTTGATCTCTCATAATGTCACTGGCTTCCCCTTGCCCAGTTCTAATTTTCAAGGAGTCATTTTCTTCCTTAAGATTCTAGATCTCCGGGGCAGCTAGGTGGCACAGTGGGTAGAGCTCTGGCCTTGGAGTCAGTAGGACGTGAGTTCAAATTTGGCCTCAGACACTTGACACTTACTAGCTGTGTGACTGGGCAAGTCACTGAACCCCGATTGCTAGATCTAGATCTGCTTTTCTAATTGGTTGACTTTCTTTTCATAATCTTGGTGTTTTTTAGATTGTTTTTTTTTCCTTAGTTTTTCCTCAGATCTCTGTCTTTTGATTTTTAAAGTCCTTTTTAAGTTCTTCTATGAATTCCTTTTGTGCAGGTGACCTTTTGACATTACTGTTTGGGGTAGAAGAAGGTTTGTTTGCTTCACTATCCACCTCTGAAGATGAAACCTGGTCTTCTCTATTCCCATAGTAACTTTCTATGGTTGAATTCTTTCTCCTTTGCCTGTGCATTTTTTTTTTTAGTGATGGTGTTGTTTTTTGGCTTTTTTTTCACAATTTATCTATTTATTTTTAGTTTGCAACATTCACTTTAACAAGATTTTGAGTTCCAAATTTTCTCCCCGTTTGTCCCCTCCCCCACCCATGACAGCCTGCATTCTGATTTCCCCTTTCACCCAATCTGTTCTCCCTTCTATTCCCCACCCCCTCTTTTTTTTTTTTTATCATGACTTTCAGGTAGTCCAATAATTTTTAAACTATCTCTCCTGGATCTATTTTCCAGATCAGTTGTTTTTCAAGTGAGATATTTCACATTGTCTTCTATTTTTTTCATTCTTTTAGTTTTTTATAATTTCTTGATTACTCAGAGTCATTAGCTTCCATTTGCTCCATTTTTATTTTTAAAGAATTGTTTTAAAAAAAGAATTATTTTCCTCAGTGAGCTTTTGGACTTCCTTTTCCATTTGGCCAATTCTGCTTTTTAAGATATTCTTCTCCTCATTGGCTTTTTGGACCTTTTTTACCATTTGGTCTAATCTGTTTTTTAAGGTATTATTTTCTTTACATTTTGGGGGGGTCTCCTTTACCAAGCTGTTGTCTATTTTTTCATGATTTTCTTGCATCGTTCTCATTTCTCTTCCCAATTTTTCCTCTACTTCTCTTGCTTGATTTTCAAAATCCTTTTTGAGCTCTTCCATGGCCTAAGACCAATTCATATTTTTCTTGGAGGCTTTGGATGTAGGAGCTTTGACTTTGTTGTCTTCTTCTGGTTATATGCTTTGATCTTCCTTTTCACCAAAGTAAAATTCTGTAGTCTGACTTTTTTCCTCTATTTGCTTATCTTCCCAGCCAGTTCCTTGACTTTTTAACTCTTTGTTAAGGTAGGCTCTGCTTCCAGTACGGAGGGTGTACTGTCCCCAACTTCGGGATTTCTGTGCAGCTATTTTCAGAGGTACTACTAGAGACCTATAAATTTTCAGTTCTTCTAAGGTGGTATGATCAAAGGTGAGGCATTTACTCTTTTCTTGCCCTGTGCTCTGGTCTATGAGTGACCACAAGCACTCTTTTCTGCCTTGGAACTGTGAGGAGGATGTCCCTCTTCACCAGCAAAAGCTCGAGCTTCACCACACCAGTGCTTCTCCTCGCCCCAGGACCACCATGACTCAGATCCAAGCACGGGCAAAGCAAGAGAATCCTGCCTCAGTGCCAGTGAAGAGATCCCTGTAATCCCCCCTTTCATCAGGTCCTTGATACCCCCACCATGGATAGGCTGGGGCTGCACTAGGGCTAGGGCTGGACCTCTCGCTCTTTTCTCACCAGGTCCGACAGACCTTTCCCACTGACCTTCTAAGTTGTGTTTGGCGTTTGTGGGTTGAGAAATCTGGAAACCGCCACAGCTTCTCTTGATTCAGTCCCCTGAAGCACGCTCCAGCTTCACTAAGTCCTGGTCTTTGCCTGCGGGGCCCACACCGAACTGTGTTCCTCTCCCAGCCTGGTGCAGTAGACTTTTTCTATCAACCATCCAGGTTGTCTTGGGCTGGAAGTTTGTTTTACTCGGTCTTTTTGTGGGTTCTGCTACTCTAGAATTTGTTTAGAGTCATTTTTTACAAGTATTTGGAGGGGTTTTAGGGAGAGCTCAGGTGAGTCCCTGCTTTTACTCTGCCATCCGCCCCCCTGCATTTTTTTTACTAGCTTAATTTTTGTAATCACCTGTAGCCCTGGGGTATGGGGGATAGTGTCTCTGGGCTCAGATCCTCTTCAGTTCTCGTCTCTGACCTTGAACCCAAACCAAGACCTCCAGTTTCCTGTAATTACCCACAGTCAGTGGCGTCCTCACCTCACTGCATCTGCACTCACAGAGTGTGTTATGGTTCCCTCTGGGCTCCGCCCACCCCTAGCAGCACAGCTGGGTCTGGCATTCCTTGTCAGTAGAGGTCCTGGATCTTCCACCACTGAGGTGCCCAACTCCCCTCATCCCAGAGGTAAAAGTTCCTGTATCTGGGGCCAAGGCAGCCTCCTAACCCAGCTAACCCCAGGGTTGGTTGGTTTGAGCAGTCCCTAGCCTGGAGATGTTTACTCTTCACAGGGACTAAATCTCATCCTGAGATTTTTCTTCAGATCTTCTCAGATTATCCCAGAAGGACCCCTGTTCTGCCTCTTCTCTTATTTATATTTACTGCTCTGTGTTTACTCTGAGGGCTGTATTATCTCTTTTGTGGAAGAGAATCTTGACAGCTTGGAATTTTTCTGACCTACTCCTCCATCTTCCCAGAATCCTCCTCAAGTTATACTTTTATTGTAGCAAGACATATTTAGGATCTCTGGATTCATGGAGATTTCATTTTATGAGATAATTTGTCTCTTACACAATTTTGGTGAAGGTTCACAAATTTTCAAGCTATTCATCATCTGTTACTTGCTACAAAAAATTGGGGGAGACCATTTTATTTTTCATTTCTCAGCCTTTAGCCAGTACCTACTGCTACAGGATTATAAAGTCAGAGCCTCCCTGGACCTCAGTTTCATCATCCGCAAAATGGGGTTAAATTAGATGGCCTCTGAAGTCTCCTCTAACTCACGGCTCTATGATCCTATAACTAGATGACTCTAAACCTATGAGGAGTAGGTGGAAAGTCATAGGCAAAAGCACAGGGACTCGAGTGTGCATGGTATGTGTGGAGAAGAGGGAATAGACCAGCTTGGCAGATCTGGAGGGAGGAAGAGCTTGGGGTCTGACTGTAGAGGGCCTTGAATGCCAAAACTCAGGAGTCATCCTTGAGTACCAGGCAGCAACTCCCTAGCCCAGTACTGAGTACAAATCAACCTGGGAACTTCTGGGGCTCTGTTCATGGTCTCAGCTTTAACTTTTCTGAGTGGAGGTGCTTCTACTTGCTGTCTTCACTCACAGCTCACAGAAATCCTCCCCTGGCCAAAATGTCAGATGCGTCAGGGAACCAGAAGGAAAAAACAATCAGAATCAAACACAGAGGTTCACGATCCCTCTACCACCGGCACTGCCCCGCCATGGCCAACATTAGCCAGAGGACTCGAACTCCATTCTAACGGTGCGGGACTCAGGTTTCTCTTGCATTTGGGAGGGGGGGCCCA